CCAGGGCGGAGCATGATGAGGGCGAGACCAGGGCGGAGCAGCTGGAGGGAGGACCCCTGGTGGAGCCGATGGTAGTGGGGCTGACAACACCAGGGGGCCGACTGACAGGGGCGGAGCGGATGGGAGGGGAGACCAGGGTGAAGCTGAGTGACTGACGACATGTGGTGCTGATGAGGGACTGAGGGAACATGGTGATACCGTAGGCTCTGGTGACCGAAGTGATGACAGGTGCACGGAGGGACACAGTGAGGTCAGAGGGCGTGAGGGCTGACGGGTGACTGGAGGGAGTGAGGAGTCCGACAGAACCGGGGGGGTGATATGACGGGGCGGAGCCAGAGAATGAAGTCCAAAGGTGAAGGGAGGACGACGAGGGAGCGAAGGGAGTCCGGAGGGTCGAGGGAGCCTGGCCGAGCTGGTGGACTGAGGGGCCATGGAGGAGCTGAGGAGGTAGGAGCCACGGGGGAGCCAATGGGACCGGGGGCCGAGGAAGTGTCCAGATGGAGGAGGTGTGAAGCGAAGACCGGGGATGCAAGGACCAGGCTGGGTCAGGGGAGCTGAAGGGCAGGAGAGCAGAGGGAGGACAGATGAGAGGAGGCGGGAGAGGGAGGCTGGGTGGGATCCTGGTCTCGGCCTCTGGCTCTGGCTGGACGGTCTCGGGCTCTGGCTGGACGGTCTCGGGCTCTGGCTGGACGGTCTCGGGCTCTGGCTGGACGGTCTCGGCCTCTGGCTGGACGGTCTCGGGCTCTGGCTGGACGGTCTCGGGCTCGCTGGACGGTCTCGGCCTCTGGCTGGACGGTCTCGGGCTCTGGCTGGACGGTCTCGGGCTCTGGCTGGACGGTCTCGGGCTCTGGCTGGACGGTCTCGGGCTCTGGCTGGACGGTCTCGGGCTCTGGCTGGACGGTCTCGGGCTCTGGCTGGACGGTCTCGGGCTCTGGCTGGACGGTCTCGGGCTCTGGCTGGACGGTCTCGGGCTCTGGCTGGACGGTCTCGGGCTCTGGCTGGACGGTCTCTGGCGCAGGCTGGACGGTCTCTGGCGCAGGCTGGACGGTCTCTGGCGCAGGCTGGACGGTCTCTGGCTCTGGCTGGACGGTCTCTGGCGCCGGTGGACGGTCTCTGGCGCAGGCTGGACGGTCTCTGGCGCTGGCTGGACGGTCTCTGGCGCTGGCTGGACGGTCTCTGGCGCTGGCTGGACGGTCTCTGGGCTGGCTGGACGGTCTCTGGGCTGGCTGGACGGTGCTGGACGGAACCAGCGAAGAGATCTCGGGCTCGGCGAGGCTGGGCGGAACCAGCGGAGAGGAGAGCTCGAGCTTTGGAGGGGTGCTGGTGACTTCCTCCACCGTGAATGGAGACTCACAGCACACCAGCACCCACTCCACACAGGCGGCGAAATCACCGGGACCGTTCCCTGGGAGGCGTGCCCGGGACCGCTCGCTGAGGCTGGCGATGTAGAACTCACTCAGCGAGTGGTCAGAATAGTGAGTCAGGCACGCCAACTCCAGAAAGTCCCGTGTATGGGATTCCAGGGAACGGTCTTCTTGATCAAGGCAGAGAAGAGCCACTGCAGGAATGTCCATCTTACTTCTTCTCTTTTCTTTTTGGGTCGGTCAATCTGTCACGGTACGGGTTCAGGTAGAAGGAGAGGCTGAGTCCAGATCTCGATTAAGAGACATTTAATGCAAAAAACAGGCAGGAAGACAGGATATACAACGCAACATTCAACATTGACCGACAAGGACAGAATGAAACAGAGGAAACTAAATACACAGAGGAATCAGGGTTGATTGGGGTGAACACAGGTGAAAATGATCATGACAGGACGAGGAACAGGTGGCTGATTGGGGAAGTGAGTCCGGGAGAGGAACAAAAGGATCCGGGGAAGTGTGGTGCAGATGACGGGACAAAACAGGTGAGGACGACAGACCGTGACAGCATGTTAACTTTTTTTCTTTTTAAACCAGAATAACAGTCTGTGTATATGGTGCATGCATAATCAGAATGACAAAATATGACTCTGTGGTGGTGTAATCGATTGTATTGTTGTATTGCTTAACATGTATGTTTCACATTCCAAGATACAAGTTGTAGCATTTATTTTAACAGCTATAGATAGATTTACTTTCCGACTAGAATGTAGATTGTATAGTGAATGACAGTGACTGAATTTAAATCACAAGTCACTTAAGTTGTGAGTACATCAGATTACCCCCACAGATCACCATATACAGTATACACTCACCTAAAGGATTAATAGGAACACCATGCGAATACTGTGACACCCTTTGGCCTTCAGAAGTGCCTTAATTGCTGCTAAAAGCATTCTTTAGAAATTTTGGCCCATATTGATAGGATAGCATCTTGCAGTTGATGGAGATTTGTGGGATGCACATCCAGGGTATGAAGCTCCCGTTCCAGCAAATCCCAAAGATGAACTATTGGGTTGAGATCTAGTGACAGTGGGGGCCATTTTAGTACAGTGAACTCATTGTCATGTTCAAAAAACCCATTTTAAATGTTGATTGCTTTGTGACATGGTGCATTATATTGGTGGAAGTAGCCATCAGAGGATGG